AATAACTTTATTGCGATTTTCTTGTGAATCCATAAAAAAATTCAAGGAAATTGGAATAACGTGGCAACGTTGCGTTGGAATTTGAAAAATAAACTGCAGTTGCACAGCCTAGGAAGAGATTAATGAAAATATGTGAACATATATCGGGCGTTTCACTTAAAAAATAAGTTGTGTGTTACACATTAAAAACAACCGCCCAACTTTGGTGTTTGACTTCTTGTTGTATCGCTTAGTGACTCACCGTGTATATACAGTTGCCGCCAAAAAATTTCAGACGTCAATGTCATTCAGTCGTCAGATAGTGTAAAGTAACCTTTAGATGTTTAGGTATTTTGAAAGTTTGACATTCCAGCTGTCCGAAATATTGACAATAAAGCATAGACTACATTAAAATTTTTGACGTGACAGAAAAGTGATGTTTGAAATTTTTTGTCTGAAACTGTATATAACGTTTTAAATACTTGACAGTTGACACTTTGACACTTTATTATTCGTAGGAAACTTTGATAAATTAAAGAAAAAATATGTAATTTTTACGATGACTTACTAATTTCTTGTAGAATAAAAATATACAGGATGTCTCAAAAGTATGGTAGCAGAAGATTTGGTGTAAATTTATAGGACTCATTTAGAGCTCTGATTTTTTATAAATGTACTGAATGCACATTTTTGATTTTTTATACCTACATAAAATGATCAAAATTCTCAACTCCGCTTAGAATTTTGCAAAACATTTTTCAATTGTCTTTGAACTAAATTTGAAGACTGTTTTAGCTTATTTATAATTACAGTGATTAAATTTATAAATTGTTCATTTTCTTATACTTTTCAAATGGAACATCCTGTATTTCATAACTTGTTGGAGTTCATCGCTAAGTAAGTTTTCTTTGAATACCAAATTTGTTGTAGTTTATCTTAACAGTTTTTTGAGAATTCAACTTCGAAAGTGGTATAAAATACAGGATGTCCCATTCGAAAAATATGAGAAAACTGGCATTTTGAAATTTTGGTTACCCTGTATAAATAACTTTAAACTTCGTTCAGCCTTACCTATTGACTAATTATATAATAAAAACATTCCAAATTCCATCTTCAAAAATGAAATAAGTCTTAATTTTTTCATAAAGAAGCTAAAATTTGTAAAAATATATGAATTCTTTTGTTTAGAAAAATAAAACTTAACTAATAACTTTTCAACGTGGAACACCTTGTATATTTCAAAATAATTGTAAATTGTAGCTCCAAATGGGTTTTGTCACATTCTTTAAAAAATTGGTTGAAAGTGGTTTCAACAAACAGAACTTCCCTCGCTCCTGAAGTAGAATGAAACATAAAAAATAAACACCCAATCAGATTTAGGAATTTAAAACTCGTACTATGGAAATTTGCAATTTAACAAGTTTTTACAAGATTAATAGAGACAAAATCAGTCTTATCTTAGTAAGTACTAGCCCCGCCCACCCACCCCATATTTTCTCAAAGGATATGTCATTTGCCAAAATAAGTCTTAACTTACCTAGTACTAGCCCCGTCCACCCACCCTCTATTTCCTCAGAGGGAATATTATTTGCCAAAATCAGTCTTATCTTAGCAAGTACTATCCCCGCCCACCCACCCCCTCTTTTCTCAGCGGGTATATTATTTGCCAAAATAAGTCTTAACTTAGCAAGTATTAGCCCCGCCCACCCACCCTCTATTTTCATAAAACGTATGTCATTTGTCAAAATGCTAGTATTTGCTAAGATAAGACTGATTTTGGCAAATGCCATATCTTCTAAGAAGATAGAGGGCGGGTGGGCGGGGCTAGTGTTTGCTAAGATAAGACTAATTTTGGCAAATTACATATCCTGAGAAAATAATAATAATAATAATTTTAGATAGGGTTTATTCGGCAAAATTTTGAGCTAATGTCATCAATTTTTTGGAGGGGACAACTAAATATATTTTGATTAAAAATATATTTCAAAATAATTGTAAATTGTAGCCCTAAATGAGTTTTGTCACATTCTTTAAAAAATTGGTCGAAAGTTGTTTCAACAGAACTTCCCTCGCTCCTGAAGTAGAATGAAACATAAAAAACAAACACCCAATCAGATTTAGGAAATTAACTCGTTGTTATGGAAATTTGCAATTTAACACCTTTTAAAGTTAACAAATTTTTACAAGATTAATAGAGGCAAAATCAGTCTTATCTTAGTAAGTACTATCCCCGCCCACCCACCCCCTCTTTTCTCAGAGGATATGTCATTTGCCAAAATAAGTCCTAACTTAGCAAGTACTAGCCTCGCCCACCCACCCTCTATTTTCTCAGAGGGTATATTATTTGCCAAAATCAATCTTATCTTAGCAAGTACTAGTTCCGCCCACCCGCCCTCTATTTTCATAAAAGGTATGTCTAGCCCTTGCTAAGATAAGACTAATTTTGGCAAATTACATATCCTGAGAAAATAATAATAATAATAATAATTTTAGATAGGGTTTATTCGGTAAAATTTTGACCTAACGTCATCAATTTTTTGGAAGGGATAACTAAATATATTTTGATTAAAAATACAAGATTTCAAAGCATTCGGTTTTGCATATTCAAAATTAAATTGCAAAATGTTGCTTTATATTTTTGATTTGTTTTCCAAAAATCTGGATGTTTCGGGTAAATACTCAAGACGGAGTCATAAACTACATCTATGTTATTTTATATAATTTAAAACCCATTTACTACGTACGATTTTGAAGTGACGTCATCACATTATTGGTGGGGATGATTAGACAAACTTTGGTGAGCGTTTTACCATCTACATGCTATTCCTAATACATATAAATATAAAATTTGACAACAATCGACCCAGTACTTTCGGAGATTATCTGTCTAATAAAAATCCGGGACGGTAGACAGACAGACAGACAGACGGACAGACGGACCGACAGACAGAAAGGTCGAGAAAACGTAAAAGTAGAGACTCGATTACAGCACTTCCTTCGCTTACACTAGTTTAAAATAAATGTGCAACGGCTACTTTCATGTTTTCTCGACGTTTCATGATCCGCAAAGTATGAAAAAATAGGTCTTCCGTTTCCGCCCGTCTGTCGTCTGTGTCGACATTTACAAGACAAATAATCTCCAAAACTGGTGGACTGATTGTTGTCCACCAACAATTTGATGACGTCACCTCTGGCTTTTGCATGGCAAATGCTATTTAAATTTTATAAAATAACATACTTGTACTTACTAATTAAACATGACGCCACTAATTTGTTCCTAAATTAGTATTTTTTGGTTCTGTAGTGGATAAATTATGGCTAATATTCTGTAATTTCTAAAATATTTATTATGTATAAACTCTGACATAAACTGTTTTGCTGTAAAAATTGATATGGAGTTTTCAAAAAAATTCTTTAAAAAAAATGATCCAAAGTTATTTACACAGTACTTTCCTTGCCCCTGAAATACAATACAACAAATTCACCTTGGTCGAAAAATTACAAAATTTAATTTTGCGAATTTTATTTTTTTATGATAAATCCAGCAAATTAAAATAAAGTTAAATATGTATGTATGTAATCTTAAAATATAGGTAATTACAAAATTTTGTGATGTCGTCCTCATCATTTTTGCAAGGGCACGTATGTCAATTTGGATAAGTGCAATATAATATTAATAATAAGAGTATTGTGTTTCAATTTTTTTGTCATCCTGTATAAGCAAGTGAGAAATTATACATAAGTATAGATTCATCGTATAGAGAGATACGTCGTTGGATTTTTTTTTTGGGGGGGGGAATAAATTGATATAAGTGATATATTTTGATTAAAAATTTACCATGCGTCCGATAACTTTAAATCGTTCCAACATTTCAAAGCACTGGGTTTTACACATTCAAAATTAATTTGTAAGATGTTATTATAAATACAATTTTGATTTTTTTTTTTTCAAAAATTGGACATCTCATGTAAAAACTCAAAAACTCAACTTGGATTCATAAACTACACGTATATTACCTATCTGTTAAAAAATTAATAAAGCACTGGTAACACAGGTCGTAGTTTTTTAATTTTTGAATCATCAGTAGGACTATGCTATTTTATACACTTTAAAACTGATTTATTATGTACAATTTTGAGCCGACGTCATCACATTGTTGGTGGGGATGATATGACAAAGTTTGGTTAGTCTTTTACCATCTTCAAAATATAAAATTTGACAATACTCGGTCCCGTAGTTTCGGAGACTAACAAAATCAATACAGATGGCGCACATACAGACAGATAGACGGATAGAAACGGTGGACCTATTTTTTCGAACTCTAGGGGTTATGACACATCGAGAAAACATGAAAGTGGCCAGTCGTCCGATGGACTCGATTAGAATACTTCTTTATTAGCTTACGCTCGGTAAGTAAAAATATACTTACCTATTTATAATCATGCACAAGGATTTTATTTGTTCAGTAAAAGATAATGAAGGCACATTTGGTTTTACATAATTATATTAAATTGTGTTTTAATAAAAATTTTGAAAATAATGATAAATTTGATAATATACATATTGTAGAGTGAAAATATTATGAGTAGAGCATGTTAACTTGATCTCTTTTACACAGAACCAAATTTTGAAAGCAATATAATCAATCCAACATTTTCAAAGATTGTCTATTTTTTGACCTATTTTTCATATTCTAGGGGTCACTAAACGTCGAGAAAACTTAAAACTAACTGTTCGCTGGGTGGATCATGTTATAAAACACTGGAGAAGTAAAAATTCGACAAAATTAATTAAATTATGTCATGAAAATTTTTCTATTTAGGTATACATCAGTTTCACAAATTTCGGTTAATCTGTAACTAACATTTTTCAATTCAAGGGACAATTTTTCCAACAGCAGGAAAATATGCAACATAATATTGAATTTTTCACTCAAAAAATTAAAACGACGTCGTTCAAAAAAAACGTTTTATTAATCTAGCAGTATACTTTGTATACTAGGAAACATTAACACACCAAATGAAAATAATGCCAGTTTAATCAATTTAATTTATACAACAAAATTAAAACAAAATGGCAGTAAACATCTCTATAAAGAACTAACTCTCAAAACATGAAAATCCAATCTTTGGACCACAATTACACAAATAAAATACAAAGCAGCATGAATATAAAGTTATTTACACATACACCTTTATTTTCAGAATGAAAAAATAAAGAAAGACGAAATAATCACAAATTATTCTCCACTATTGGGAAGTTAGGGGCGAGATGCCCCCTTGACGCAACTCTGTGGTACCAGGAGTCTCCAAATTCGTCAGTAATTGCGACAGCCAGTGTTTTGTAGACTTGTCTTCTTGAAGGCACACAGTAAAAGTATTGTCCCTCAAGTGATCAGGGAGGCATTGCCTTAAAGCTTCTCTTGCTCTTGGATTATCCGAGAGCCTTAAATAACATCTCACAACATGCTTAAGAAGTCGGGCGCTGGGTTCTTTCGCCAAAGCTAGCACCATTTTACCCTTGAAACACAACTGTAAACACAACCGAAAACCACATTAATTCCAACTTACTAAGATCATCGCCACGTGACTAAATCTGTCATATGTTTGGCAAATGTATGAAAGGCCACTATCATCTAATAAAATTTTCTGCAAAATGAACGTAGCAACGGTTTTACTTAATTCAGATCCTGACTCCATAATGCGCAAACAAAGAGGGATAATTTCAGTAGTGAGGAGGAAGTTTATAACTTCTTGTTCATCAGTCTGGAATGACCATAATAATATAGTGTGAAGCTACTTACGACATGTACCTTCACTAAAGCACCAATCACACCCAGACTTGTCAACCTCAAGTATTCAAAAGGGCGCGTTTTTGACACTGTGTGCAAAAACGGGTAGAGAAAAAGGGGCACATGGGCAAGTAAAAATTGAGACCGGGTTTCAGGATGAGAGGCCACACACTGGAGTAACGCTAAAGCATTGCAAACCCTGAAAATCCAAGTATGGGTAAGCTGCTTGTTGGTAGTGGTTATAGTACCGGTTGGACTGGTGTGCCGTTAAAGTCGCTGGATTTATGGCAGGGTAGATGTTAATTATCTCTTGGAGAAGAGCAGCCGTCGTTCCAAAACTGTTCCACAGCATGGGGGCCAAGTCAGGCACTACTTCACGTTTTTTACTACAAGAACACCCTAATTACGGATTTAATAACCCCAATTGCGTACCTCAGCTCCAGTAAAGCGTTCTCTCTGGTTTCTGGATTCGTAAGTTCCAGAATCCACTGGAACACTTTTTCCCGTTCGACAGTTTGGTTCGCGGGACTCGGTTGTGTGCTCATCATGGGTGCTTATTTTTTTAATTCGTTAATAAATTTAATTAAATTAAATGATTTCCTTGTTGATTATTTTGATAACGATGTCAACTACCTATAATATCTTCGGCTTTAATTATGTAACGGAAACAAAACAGACAACTAAATATTTCCTATTCACGTACGGTTATTTATTACTTCGGCACAGAATTTTTCAACAATAAACAAACACTAATCAAAACGTATTCGACATTGTGTTGATATGACAATATGATAACCAAATAAATTGACAGCCCGGCTGTCAAAATGGCGGTCAACGCGTCAAACGTCAGTGTAAATAGCGTCTGCGCAGGTCACGTTGATTTAAATTGATTTTTAGTGCTACATTATTATAATCAAATGTGGAATTTTAGGACGTCCGTAGAATACGAGAGTGCAAACGACTCGTTTCAGTCTGTCTGTTGACAATTTTATCATTGTAACGGTTTGGGTTATCTTGAAATAAATTTAATATTATCTGCACGACTGGTTGCCTACTTCTAGGGGTTCATTCACAAACGAATGCAAATAATGATTCTGTTTTTAAAATGGAGTCACACGTGTGCAAATAATGCAATTTTAGATGCCTTAAGTATGATTCGGTGCATAGAATGTCTGCAAATAATGATCAGTTTCAAATAATAGTAAACATTTTAAATTTGGCGCCATCGAGACGGAAGCAGAAATGAATTGACAATGCGTTAAAATTGATCAGTGATATAAATCGTCAAAACCGAACCAGTCAAACAACGAAGCAAAAGCAGTCAAAAAAAGCGAAACCCGGAATGATCAGTGTCCTCTCGAGCTGATTTTGATTGAACCGACCCCTGTAATTTCACCATTTGTGTAATTCATGTTCCGTTCTCAGTGACACGGTCTCTGGCAACAAGTGATCACTTATGTTGTAACCTTAAAATATTACTTAATGCTTGTTTAAAACGAATTATCAGTTTGTGTATATAGACAGAGAACGTAGGAATTTTGTAAATGGTTCCAGTTATACTGAGTGTTTGAAAAATAAAACAAACCCTTCGAACTTTGAATGTGCGTTGTATGCGGTGTGAGTGAACTGTGCATGGACCCCCAGCTAAATAAACCCGTCAGTAGTTAAATTTTCGCGTCCGAAAGTAAATAAAACAAGCCATGTTCTTGTACATAGTTCCACTTTCGTATAATGCCAACAAATAATTGCAAAAATGATCAAAACATAAACCGACTTCGCACGAAGATGTCCGAACATTTCCCAGATGAAACCAAAGTGAAATTATCCAAATTGGTAGATTCTACAAATTGCTTGGAAAAGAAAAAATCAAACAGTGTCGATAACAAGAACGAGAATCTCTCCTGTGATCATATGTACACTTGCAACACCGAAAATCTCGAAATCAACCTGACCGATCCCAACTGCCAAAGCGCCGAAAGTGAGGTTAAGTTCTGGAAAGAGTGGCTAATTCTTCATCTCGACTTGATCCAGCAGCAGAGCGATGAAATCCTCAACAAAGAGAGAACGATTCTGATTTTGCAACAAGAAAATGAAATGGTAACTTAATTTTGTGTCATTGGACTTTTAATGACTTTAGCCGTAGCTTAAAGAGCGCATAACTTGCCTGGAACGCGGGGCCCCCTTCCAACCCAGGAAGTTCTTCAATCACCCGAACTCGTTTCTCGACGACGGGCTAGATATGACCCAGGACTCGAGTCTTTGTGATGAAGACAACAAAAACTGTATAGACATTCTTGATTTGAACTGCGAAAACAGCGATGGATGCTCGTCTTTGAAGGAAAAACGGGGGCTAAATGACGGCGAATCTCAGACGGAGACTCCTACAGTAGATCATAAGTTTGATTCTCAGGTTAATTTTAATCGAGTCGGTGATAAAGTAAAAACTGAAAGTGAAGAGAGGAGCGATAGGTTGGATTTTGCGGGCGACAACGCAGGCGATTTCGATCCAATGAAAAACTTGAGGATGAGCATCAGGAAGAAGAGGCTGAGCAACTCGTCAGCGGTGTCGAATGAGTACGCTTTGGAGGAGAAACGGTCGTTTCGGAAATTCAAAAAGCGGCGCAAACGTAGGTGGGAGTTGTCGGTAGATTGGTTGCTTATTTGTGTGTTGTAGGTGTTTTAAAAGACTCCCAAATTCTTATGACCCCGGATCACTACATTATGGAAGCCAATAAAGCCAATTTGCGGTTGTCCAATGTACCAGACACTAGTCTGGATATTCCAAGTGATAAAAATTTGGAGGTTGGCGGAGGCGTTGTAAACACTGGTCACTAAATTGGGTGTTTTAGGTGCCCCGGTGGAGGATTAAAGTGTATGCTAGTTGTTATGCAATGGAAGGGACGGAAAATTTGGATGATGAGGTGTACAACAAGAGACACAGCAGGCTGGAGAATGACGAAAGGAGGAGGAAGAGGTAGTTTAAATGATGTCAGAAGCGCGTTTTTCATTTTAATTTTGTAGGTGGGATGTTCAGAGAATAAGAGAACAAAGATTGATAGAAAAGTTGAAGCAGAGGCAGGAGCGCCTGGGCTCAGGATCAAGATCAGATGAACAAAATGAACCAGTGCATTCCCTTTGGCCTAGTCTAGACGACATTAAATACCTGGAAGTAAATGATCATTTACCGGTGGCTGCTTTTGGATCTCCTGTACCAAAAATCATACCAAGGTGTGTTCTTTGGTTATTAATTTCTGTCTGTTTTTATTATTTAATGGGGAATTGTTGTAGTGAATTTAATCTACCCTGGTTGAACAACCCAGTCGTTGTCACCAAAAAACTACCTGTCAAGAGGTCAACAATGCGAAGAAAAACCGCAAAGAGATAAGTAATGTTGAAGATTTTGCGATAAAATTTAGTCATCAGGTGCCATTCACTCTGTAAATACAGATTGGCACTAAATTGGTATGTTCAACAAAAGTGATCTTTTATTTTGTATTTTTATGTACATAATGACAAATTCAGTGAATTCATGACAATTTGTAAAGTATTTATCTAGCGTTAAGCAATACTTGGGATAGATCATAGACAATATTAAATCGTATTTTAGGATACTTAGATAAAAGCGAATTAAGTTTGTTAAGTTACTACATATTCTTCGGTAATGCAATGTGATATCAAACTGTTAAGTTCTTCAATGATTATGATATTAATGTTTATTTTCACTGTACATTCTGGACGAGTGAACGTATTAGTTGTACTTATTTATGTATCAACTTCGTTATTTTGAAATATAAACTTTTTTCGTATAGGGATTGTGCTTGGTCCATAACCTCAAAATTGAGAAAATTTAAATCGCACGGAAACACTATCGATAGTTAAAAATTAATACGCGGAATGCGCTGTTCACTGATTTTTGCGTAAGTTGTAATTTAGAGCGGACTTTTTGGTGCAAACACCCACACAAACCTGTTAACCTATAAAGTACAACAACAAATAAAAAAAGTAGTGCCTCCAGTAAAACTCCCTTTTAATCATTTCCTTGTATTAAAATAGAACAGGAGTCCGTCCTGATGGTTTATTATTTTCTATTTACAAAAATACAAGTGGAATATTTTTTAATGTCATAAAAAAATTGACGTAATGTTGCAAGCATTCGTGGTCGGTAAACACAACTATTTCTTTAGTGATACTGATAAGAGTGATAAGAATGTCACCGTCGTGCTCCCAGTGCAAGTGACGTCGAAAAAGTTCGATTTATTTACGTGCACTTAAAAACAATTTTAGAGGTTATGAACACCGGACGTTGACGTGTCATCAATTTTGAAAAATAAATACCAAAATATCGACATGTTGAAGGCAGTTATATTAATAGGAGGACCACAAAAAGGTACCCACTGTTGATAAATTATATTCGTGACTGTAATGCGTTTTTTATCAGGTACCCGTTTCCGACCACTCTCTTTGGATATACCCAAACCCTTGTTCCCCGTAGCCGGGGTACCACTCATTCAGCACCACATCGAGGCTTGCGTAGCCATTGAAGAGCTCAAAGAGATTCTATTAATCGGTTTTTACCCGGCTGCACTAATCCAACAATTCATTGTGGATTTGCAGCACCGCTACAACGTCACAATAAAGTAAGAAATCCACACGCAACCACAATAAATTGACGCTTTACTACAGGTATCTGCAAGAGTTCACCGCTTTGGGGACCGCCGGCGGCTTGTACCATTTCCGTGACCAAATTCGCTACGGCAACCCGGATGCTTTTTTCGTCATGAACGGCGACGTTTGCGCCGATTTTCCTCTCGAAGACTTGTACAAATTCCACAAAAGTCTGACAAACCCATTGGTATAAATCAAACACCGTATTAATCACACACTAATTGATATTTTAGGTTACCATCATGGGGACTGAAGCCACCAGACAACAGTCGCTGCATTACGGGTGCATGGTCACCAACAAAACCACCCAAGAAGTGACCCACTACGTCGAAAAACCCAGCTCCTACGTGTCAACTCTAATCAACTGCGGAATTTACGTGTTTTCTTTAGACATTTTCAACACAATTGGAGACGTTTTCACCGCAAAACAACAAGACTGTTACAGGAACGGAAATTCAAACCGGGAAGCGGGGTACATCCAATTGGAGCAGGAAATTCTAGCACCGATGGCCGGTACGGGAAAATTATTCGCGTTACAGGTTACCAAGTGGTGGTCACAGTTGAAAACCGCCGGATCGGCGATTTACGCCAACCGGCACTATTTGGAGCTTTATCGCACAAAGCACCCTGAACGCTTGAGACAACCGAATACTTCAGGCGAGGACTGCACAATTTACCCGGATGTGCATATAGACCCGACAGCACAAATCCATCATTCCGCGGTGGTATGTAAAGCGGGAAATTGGTACACTGTGTTGTAAAGTTGGTTACAGATCGGTCCCAATGTTAGTATCGGGTCGGGTGTGGTGATCGGGCCGGGGGTTCGAATACGGGAGAGCATAATTTTGTCGGATGCTGTTATCAACGACCGCAGCTTAATCTTGCACAGTATAATTGGGAGGAGTTCGAGGATTGGGACGTGGGCTCGAGTGGAAGGGACGCCGTCGGATCCTGATCCGAATAAACCGTTCGCAAAAATGGAAAATCCAACGTTGTTTAATAATGATGGCAGGCTTAACCCGTCGATTACGATTTTAGGTAAAGTTTTAATGTAATTTAAATCCAAAGGCAGAAATGTCATTTGACATTTGTTGATTTTTCGTTGTGGGCGTGGTCATGCTTGAAATGTCAATAACTGTGTTGAAGTTAGCGTTAGTTTATAATTCGCGTTTTCGATGTTTTTGTTTCTGATTAACGTAAATTTTGAGTGTGATCCGTTGATTGATTAATTTCGTTCAATTGACCTCGTTTTAGGTCAGCGAAATGTGTGTATAATGTAAATCCACATGTGAAGCTAACTTCAGCACGTATTGTCATGTTGAGTGACAATCTGTCACTTGCGCTTAGACCAGTGGCGTATCAATTAATTTCGCACGCGTGCCGACCAATCGCAACAAAACTTTGTTAATTTTACAAATTCTTCAGTTTTCGATATTATGATTTTTCAATTACTCCATTTTTTTGCTTTGTTAGTTCTCCGATTTTACAATTTTTTGAGTTTTCAACTTTTATTAGTTTTTTAATTCTTTTTTAATAAATTTCGTGTTTTTTATTTTTCGGTAAAAGAACAAATTTATCCAAACTAAAATATTGGAAAATCGGAAAATTGTATCATCGAAACAATGAAGAATACAAAAATTTTAAATGAAAAGTCCAAAAATTTCAAAATGAAAATAGAGACACCGAAAAATTGAAAAACGAAATAATTTTACAATTTTAAAGTTTTCAAGTTCTTGATTTCCATTTTTAATCAAAATAAAATTTTGCAAAATCGAATAACTGTAGCAGCGATAAAATGAAACTTGAAATATCGAAAAATTTAAAAATTGAAAAATCGAAAAATGAAAAAATTGAGAAAGTGAACAATGAGATAATTAAGTGAGAAGATAAAGTGAAAAATTGAAAAAACGACAAACAAAAACTTTTTATTAAACAATAAAAAATACTAAAAAAAACTGATTTCAAAATTCAAAATTTTAAAATGAAAACCGGAAAACTAAAACATTGTAACATCGAAAAAACGGCACACTGAAAACCCGAAAAATTTTAAACTTGAGAAATGGAAGAATTCAAAAAATACAGAAACTGCAAAATCGGATATATAAAAGCCAAAAATTGTACAAGTGAATAATAAAAACCCTAATAATAATTATTTGAAAAAAGTGAAAAATTAAAAATGAAACAATTACAAAATTGTGAACTTGAAAAAAAAAACAGAATAATTAAAAATCGAGAAATCGAAAAAATCAACAAAAAGAAACAATTTTGCAGTTTTTCAATATTAAATTTTTTAAATTCTCAATTTTTTTAAATTCTTTATTGTCTGAATTTTTCATTTTTTAATTGTTCAACAAAAGGAAACATTTAATATGAAAAAATCGAAGAAACAAAATAATTTAGAATTACCTACTTCGAACTACGATTTGTTTAATATTACAGATTCTTCATTTTTCGATTTTACGATTTTTCAATTATTCGATTTTTTTTGCTTTGTTAGTTCTCCGATTTAACAATTTTTTGAGTTTTAAACTTTTCGTTTTTTTATTCTTTTTTTAATAAATTTCGTGTTTTTTTAATTTTTCAGCAAAAGAACAAATTTATACAAACTAAAATATTGGAAAATCGGAAAATTGTATCATTGAAACAATGAAGAATACAAAAATTTTGCAATGAAAAATCCAAAAATTTCAAGTTCTTGATTTCCATATTTAACCAAAATAAAATTTTGCAAAATGGAATAACTGTAACACCGAAACATTAAAAAATGCAACAATTAAAAATCGAGAAATTGAAAAATCGACAAAACGAAACAATTCTGCAATTTTTCGATATAATATTTTTCAAATTCTCGATTTTTCATTTTTTAATTGTTCAACAAAAGGACAAATTTCTTCAAACTAAACTTTTGAAAAACCGAAAAGTTGTAACACTGAAACATCAAAAAACAGAATAACTAAAAATCTAGAAATTGAAAAAATCAACAAAAAGAAACAATTTTGCAGTTTTTTGATATCAAATTTTTGAAATTCTTAATTTTTAATTCTTTATTGTCTCGATTTGTCATTTTTTAATTGTTCAACAAAAGGAAAAATTTATTCAAACCGAAATTTTGAATTGAATTGAAAAATCAGAAAATTGAGAAATGGAAGAATTGAAAAATAAAGAAAACTTGAAAAAACTCAAAAAATGAAACTTGAAATATCGAAAAATTTAAAAAATGAAAAAATTGAGAAATTGAACAATGAGATAATTAAAAAAGAATTGAAAAATCGAAAAATTGTAGTATTAAAACCTGAAAACCCTGATTAATTAAAAATCCAGAAAGTGAACAATTGAAAAAACGAAAAACAAAAACTTTTATTCAACTTTTTTGTTTTTAAACTTTTGAATTTTGAAATTCATTTTTTTTTTAATGAATTTCAAAATTCAAAAGTTTAAAATGAAAACCGGAAAACTAAAAAATTGTAACATCGAAAAATTTATACCTAATAATAATTATTTGGAAAAAGTGAAAAATTAAAAATGAAACAATTCAAAAATTTAAATTTGAAAAAAACAATTAAAAATGGAAAAATTGAAGAAATGAAAAATTGAAAATCAAAAATTGAAAAACCAAACTTGAAGTATCGAAAAATTGAAAAAATTGGCAGACTGAAAATTGGGTAACGAAAAAACAATTAAAAAATGGAACAACCGAGAAAAGATAGAAACTGTAAAATTGAAAATTTGTAGCATTGAAACCTGAAAAAGTGATAAATTAAAAATCTAGGAATTGAAAAATCGAAAAACCGAAAAATTGTAAAATTCCACAGATACAAAATCTAAAAAGTAAAAAGCAAATTAGAAAATCGAAAAACTAAAAAACTGGAGAAATCGAAACAGAAAAATCGAAAAATTATCAATTAAAAAAACGAAAAATATAAAATCTCGAATTGAGAAATCAAAAAATCGAAGAAACAAAATAATTTGGAATAACTACTTGGAAGTATCTACTTTATTTTTTATTTTCTCAATTTTTCGTTTTCTAATTTTTCAACAAAAGGACAAATTTATTAAAACTGAAATTTTAAAAAATCAAAAAATTGGAAAATTGTGAGACTGAAAAATTGAAAAATCAAAACATTAAAAACTGAAAAATCGAAAAAGAAACACTGAAAAACCCAATAATTTAAAAATTGAGATATTGAATTGAAAAAAAAAGAAACTCAAAATCGAATAATTGAAAAATCGAAAAATAGCAATATTGAAACCTGAAAACCATTATTAATTAAAATTCGAGAAAGTGAAAAATTGAAAAAACGAAAAACAAAAACTTCTATGAACTAAACAATCAAAAATACAAAAAAAAAAAATCAAAATCCAAAAATTTTAAAATGAAAACTAAAAAATTAAGAAATTGTAAAAAAGACACAGGGAAAACTTGGAACACTGAAAAACCGAAAAATTTAAAAACTGGGAAATCAAAGATTTGAAAAAATACAGAAACTGAAAAATTGGGTAATTGAAAGGCCAAGAATTGTACACTTGACAAAAATCCTAATAATTATTTGAAATAAGTGAAAAATTAAAAATCGGGATATTTAAAAATGAAAACGTGATAAATTTGTAACATTGCCACTTGAAAAATTGAAATACCGAAGAACTGAAATGAAAAATCGAGAAATCTAAAATTTTAAATATTGAAAAATTAAAATATCAAAAAACTGAAATATCTAAAATTTAAAAATCGAAAAATTGAAAAAACGACAATTGAAAAACAGAAAATCTAAAACCGGGAAGTCGAAAAATCAAAAGATTATGAAATCGAAACATTTGAAAAACTGAAATATGGAAGAAATGAATTGAAAAATCGAGAAATAGAAAAATCTAAAATTTTAAATATTGAAAAATTAAAATACCAAAAATTGAGAAATCTAAAAATCGAAAAAGTAAAAAGTCGACACATCGAAAAATCCATAAGTCAAAAATGGAAAAGTCGAAGAACACAAATATTGAAAAACCCCAAAACTGAAATATAGAAAAACTGAAAAATGAAAGAAAAACTGACGAATCGAAAAACTGAAAAATCCCAAAACTGAAAATCTAAAGAATCTGAAAATCTAAAGAATCTGAAAATTGCGAATCAAAAAAGTGAAGTCGAAATATTGAAACCTTAAAAAAATCGAAAAATTGAAAAACCAAAAACCTGCAAAATCGTAAGATCGAAAAATTGAATAACAATTAAACTGAAATGTCCAAAAACTGAGAAATTAAAAAACTGAAAAAGTGAGAAATCGAAAAATTAAAAAAGTGAAGTTGAAAACCCAAAAACCTGAAAAATCAATTAATTGAAAAATCGACAAATAAAGAGTTTATAAAAGTCAAAAATTGAAAACCGAGAAATTGAAAAATTGAGATATTGAAGAATTGAAAAAAAAAGAAACCCAAAATCGAATAATTAAAAGGTTAAAACAATTGAAAAATTGAAAAATTGAAAAATTGTAATACTGAAACCTGAAAACCCTGAATAATTAAAAATCGAGAAAGTGAAGAATTGAAAAAACGAAGAACAAAAACTTCTATAAACTAAACAATCAAAAATACAAAAAAAAAATCATTTTAAAATTTTTGGAAAAATTCGAAAAGACGCAACACTGAAGAACCAAAAAATTTAAAAACCGAGAAATCCAAGACTTGAAAAAATACAGAAACTGAAAAATTGGGTAATTGAAAAGCCAAGAATTGTACACTTGACAAAAATCCTAATAATTATTTGAATTTTGAAATAAGTGAAAAATTAAAAATTGGGAAATTTAAAAATGAGAACGTGATAAATTTGTAACATTTTAGCGCCGATGTACTTTGTTGTGATTGGTCGGTACGGTTGCGTAAATTTATCTATGCTTATCATTTGTGTCTTGAAGTGGGGGCACAACTATAATTTTTTTTTTTTTTTTTAGGTTGTTCTGTAAGTGTTCCCTCGGAGACCATACTGCTGAATTCCATAGTTTTACCAAACAAAGAGCTTTCAAGAAGTATAAAGAATGAAATTATTTTGTAAATTACTCTTAAAATAAAAAAATTGCCACACTAGCATTGTTTTATTTCAATTCCTTTTAGATGTTTTCTGGAATAAAAAAACGGATAGAACTCGCATTAGAATTAACAAATTAGTACCGCAAACAGATTATATTTTATTGGTTACAGTTTTATGACACACAATATTAGCATAGAGTATATAAAATACATCTAAATAAAATAAACCATCTTGTAAAATCTTAAATGGAAGCAACATTAATAAGGCACCTTATTTTCATATATTTAACTATAGGTAAAAGGCAGACATTCGGGTAGCTAAAGTACTATAAGGTCTGTGTTAAGACATAAATACTTATACTTTTGCAGACATAAATACAGAGTTTTGTCGAAAAAAGTAGAACTTGCATGATCTAATAAAAAAACTAAAACCTACAAAGTAAATACAAATACGACTATGAAAGATTGTATAAACGCAATTCTTTGTATGGAAAATATAAATTAATATTTGTTAACTTATTAATTATTATAAATCAAATATATATTTTTTACATTAGTTAAACATTGACGATCCCCCAGTTCCAAACGACTAAACAAATATAGTAGCGATACGGAATTACAGACAGAGCTTTCATATATTTTTTGATTCTGCTATATTTACATGTTTTTATATTTTATACTTTCTTAATAAAGGTAAATGGGGAATCCTAACTATTAGGATTTAAAACACGCTCTACTCGTTTTATTAAATCATTTCAAGCAAGAATCTAACCTAAGAAAGCAAAATATATATTTTTATATATTTTTCAAACACTGGAATTGAAATACATTTAATAACTTAATAATGAAAATGTTACAAACACGTGTCTGTAGACCTTGGTCAAAATGATTAAATAAAAGTTACTATCTCATTAAAACCGACCATGACCTTGTGCTAACACACCTTACGTCGGCGTTTGCGGCTTGCGCAACGGCTGCGCTTCATGTTGCCTCTTCAATCTTCGGCGCAGTTCTGTCGGAAACTTCTCGTAACATTTTTTACACACCGGCTTCAAGTCGCACTCGTACAACTTGGTCTTCTGGTTCATTTTCTGGTCGCATACAGAACAAGCGAAATGGTGGACGCACCAAGCCTTATTTAGGGCCGTAAAAACTGAAACATACACAATAATTTGACAGAACGGGCTGTCAAAAACACGTACCGTCTCCTGCGATCACCTGGTTGCAGACGAAGCACAGATTTCCGAAAAGCTGGTGGTAGTGGACTTCGCAATACGCGAGTCCTTTTTTCTCGTAGTGGCGATGGCCGAAAAATGGTTTTTCGCATTTAGCGCAGACGAAGTGCTGGAAATTCGGAATTATTGTGGTGAGTATTGGATTGAGGTGTGTTGGGTACCTCGACGTGCCAATGCTTTCCCAGGGCTGTGACGACGCGCTCTTCGATTGGTCTTCGGCAGGCTCCGCAAATTGGAATGCCCATTTTATCGTGGCAGCGGAGGCAGTAGAGCTCGTTCATGTCGTTGGCGGCAAACCCAGGCCGGCTTCTCACTTCGCGGGCTGTGTAATCCAATTCGACGCCGCAGTTGGTACAATTGAAATGGTACGGGTGGTACATTTCGCCCCGGAACTTCAGGGGTTTGTCGTCGATGAGACCACTGAAATGAGGAAATTTATAATGTAGCAGATTTTTTTGTACAAATACGCCATTCAAGTTTAGCAAGTTTTGTAATGTGGCCATTTTGACGTGACGAAACTTGTACAATGCGAAAATGTGGGTCTTCCATTTTCCGTCTATCTGTCTGTTCGTCTGTCTGCCGTCTCGATTTTTATTGGACAAATAATCTCCGAAAGTACTGGGCCGATTGTTGTCAAATTTTGTCTTTATGTTAGGAATATCATGTATAGCAGCTGCCAAGATAACACTGATTTTGGCAAATGAGATACCCTCTAAGAAAAAAGAGGGTGGGTGGGCGGGGATAGTATCTGCTAAGATAAACTGATTTTGGCAAATGATATATATGTTCTAAGAAAAAAGAGGGTGGGTGGGCGGGGCTAGTTTCTGCTAACATAAAACTGATTTTGGCAAATGAGATATCTTCTAAGAGAGGGTGGGTGGGGGGGGGGACTAGTTCCTGCTAAGATAAGAGTGATCTTGGCAAATGACATACCCGCTAAGAAACGAGAGGGTGGGCGGGCGGGGCTAGTACTTGCTACGATAAGACTGATTTTATCAAATGACGTACCTTCTAAGAAATTTAATGAAATTATTATAAGAAAAGACACTAGAGGCTCCAAAACACTTTCAAATTCTTTTCAAACAGGAATACCTAGAACTTCAACATTCCTTTAAATTCCAAAAAAAAAACAAACAAAAAACAACAACACGGGGTCTCCAAATTAACTCAAAATCTTCATGGGATCCCAAAATAATACACCATGGGTACCCAAGAATTCCCCGAAAAAAAAAACCACTACGACACTCAAGACTTTCAAATTCATAAAAAATAAAACACTAAAAGCTCAAAAGATTTTTCCAAATTGATCTAGCAACAAAACACAGATGGTAAAACTGGCTAAAATTTGTCTAATCATCCCCACTAATAATGTGATAACGTCACTTCAAAATCGTACATAGTAAATGGGTTTTAAATTGTATAAAATAACATTGTCCTACACACGTAGTTTATGACTCCGTCTTGAGTTTTTACCCGAAACGTCCGGATTTTTGGAAAAAAAGTCGAAAATATGAAGCATTTTGCAATTTAATTTTGAATATGCAAAACCGAATGCTTTAAAATCTTGTATTTTTAATCAAAACGTTAGCTCAAAATTTTGCCGAATAAATCGTATCTTAAATATCCAAAATATGATGAGGCTATAATTGTGATTTATCATTGCATTCATATTTTTTAGATTTGCCCCCTTTTTTCTCAGAGATTAGTCTTATCTTTATTGTCTTAGAAGGTATGACATTTGCCAAAATCAGTCGTATCTCAGCAAGTACCAGCCCCGCCCACCCGCCCTCTATTGTCTTAGAAGGTATGGCATTTGCCAAAATAAGTCTTAACTTAGCAAGTACTAGCCCCGCCCACCCACCCCCTATTTTCTCAGAGGATTATGTCATATGCCAAAATCAGTATTATCTTAGCAAATACTAGCATTTTGACAAATGACATACCTTTTATGAAAATAGAGGGCGGGTGGGCGGGGCTAGTACTTGCTAAGACAAGACTAATTTTGGCAAATGACATATCCTCTGAGAAAATAGGGGGTGGGTGGGTGGGGCTAGTTCTTGCTAAGATAAGACTGATTTTGGCAAATAACATACCCTCTGAGAAAATTGAGGGTGGGTGGGCGGGGCTAGTACTTGCTAAGTTAAGACTTATTTTGGCAAATGACATCCTCTGAGAAAATACGGGGTGGGTGGGCGGGGCAAGTACTTGCTAAGATAAGACTGATTTTTAATCTTGTTAAAACTTGTTAAATTTAAAAGGTGTTATATTGCAAATTTCCATAGTTCGAGTTAAATTCCTAAATCTGATTGGGTGTTTATTTTTTATGTTTAATTCTACTTCAGGAACGAGGGAAGTCTGTTGAAACAACTTTCGACCAATTTTTTAAAGATTGTGACAAAACCCATTTAGAGCTACAATTTACAATTATTTTGAAATATACAAGGTGTTCCATGTTGAAAAGTTATTAGTTAAGTTTTATTTTTCTAAACAAAAGAATTCATATATTTTTACAAATTTTAGCTTCTTTATGAAAAAATGAAGACTTATTTCATTTTTGAAGATGGAATTTGGAATGTTATATGAAACTTACTCAACTTATTTTATTATACTTAGTCAATAAAACTGAACGAGGTGTAAAGTTATTTATGCAGGGTAACCAAAATTTCAAAATGCTAGTTTTCTCATATTTTTCGAATGGGACATCTTGTATTTTATATCACTTTCGAAGTTGAATTCTCAAAAAACTGTTCAATTCAATTCAATTCAATTCAATCACTGTAATTATAAATAAGCTAAAACAGTCTTCAAATTTAGTTCAAAGACACGTGAAAAATGCTTTGCAAAATTCCAACAACAAAACACGTAGATGGTATAGTGAACCAAGACCTATAAGGTTATATGGCCATCATAAAAGTAGTTGACCGCAAATAAATACCCCCTTTGTGTGGTTCGCACTAAGCTTACCGGTTGGCAATAAATCATCTTCTAAACATTTCTTGCTCATATTTAACAGGGCCGGCTTTCAAAGCGAGTGGTTATTTCGGAACCCTCAGCGGCTGCAGGTAGTAAAGAAATAGTGGAGTGGTGGATTTTCATATTTAGTGAAAGCCGCCCCTGAACGAAACCACAAGAGCCGGTCGAGCTGCAGTGGACACGGTATTTACGACCCTAAAACCTTTTCTATTGTAAACAACTTAACTTAGACACAATGGGATGATTTTATGATGGCCATATAACCTTATAACTCTTGGTTCACTATAAAACGCTGACTAAAATTTCTCTAATCATCCCTACCAATAATGTGATGACGTCATTTCAAAATTATACATAGAAAATTGGTTTTAAATTGTATAAAATAACAGTCCTATACAAGTAGTTTATGACTCCGTGTTGAGTTTTTATCCAAAATGTCCAGATTTTTGGAAACAAATCAAAATTATAAAACAACATTTTGCAATTTAATTTTGAATATGCAAAAGCGAATGCTTTAAAATTTTGCAGATATTTTAAAGTTATGATAGGCATAATAAATTTTTAATTAAAATATATTTACTTATCCCCTCCAAAAAATTGATGACGTTAGCTCAAAATTTTGTCGAATAAATCCTATCTAAAATATCCAAAATATGATGAGTTGATACTAGCATTGCATTAATATTTTCTCAGAGGATATGTAATTTGCCAAAATCAGTCTTATCTTAGCAAGTACTAGCTCCGCCCACCCGCCCTCTATTTTCTCAGAGGATTATGTCATTTGCCAAAATTTTTTGTCATTTTGACAAATGACATACCTTTTCAGAAAGTAGAGGGTGGGTAGGCGGGGCTAGTACTTGCTAAGATAAGACTGATTTTGCCTCTATTAGTCTTGTAAAATGTTATTAGTTGAGTTTTATTTTTCTAAACAAAAGAATTCATGTATTTTTACAAATTTTAGCTTCTTTATGAAAAAATTAAGACTTATTTTATTTTTAAAGATGGAGTTTGGAATGTTATGAAACTTAGTTATCTTATTGACGTGGATAAACTTAAACAAGGTTTAAAGTTGCAGAATGCCAGTTTTCTCATATTTTTCAAATGGGCATCCTGTACTTTCGAAGTTTAATTTTCAAAAAACTGTTAGTTTAAACTTCATCAAATCTGATATTCAAAGAAAACTTACTTAGCGATAAGCTCCAACTAGTTATAAAATACAGATGTTCTATTTGAAAAATATAAGAAAATAAACAAATTATAAATCGAATCTTTATAATTATAAATAAGTTAAACACCTTCAAATTTAATTCAAGGACAATTGAAAAATCTTTTGCAAAATTTCAAATTTCCAGCTTTAAATAAGGCGGAGTTGAGAATTTTGATCGCTTTATGTAGGTATAAAAAAGCAAAAATGTGCATTCAGTAAATTTCCAAAAACAATCAGAGCTCTAAATGAGTTCTACTGCTACCAGACTTTTCAGTCATCCTGTATATTTATACTTTACAAGAAATTAGTTATGTCATATTAAAAAAGTTTTTAATAAATGCCGTTTATGCTCCGGAGACAGCCAGTGGATTTAAATACATATTTTTTTGTTGTTTTGGATTTATCAAAGTTTCCTACGAATAACAAAGTGTCAACTGTCAAGTATTCAAAACCTTATATATACAGGGTGAGTCACTAAGCGATACAACAAAAAGGCAAATACCAAAGTTGTATGGTTCTTGAAGGACTATACCTTAAAATTATTTTTAACTACACAGTGTTCTGTTTTTAATGTGTAACACACAACTTAGTTTTTAAGTGAAACGCCCCATATATCTTTACATACTTTCGTTGGGTCTCTTCCTAGGCTATGTAACTGCAGTTTATTTTTCAAATTCCTATGCGACGTTGCCACGTTTCGTAAAATTTTAATATACAAAATGTTTATAAAAAATTCTAAAACTTTACAATTTTCAAATATCGATATTTCCGGCTTTTCAATAGAACATCCTGGATTTTATTCTATTTTTTGTTCTTATTCCTCTAATATGTCGATGTGTCTCTTAACAAAGAAAAATCGCAGTAACTATCAGCTTTAAATATAGAAAATATACGTAACAAAAAAGAAAAAGGACAAAACAATAGAATAAAATGCAGTCATAACATATAGACTGTTCTATTTACAAAAACGGAAATATCGATGTTTGAAAATTGTAATAATTAAAAATACATAAACACTCTGTATGCGAAAAGCGTGTACTTTTGTTTCTTCCAAAACAACTGTAACACAGATGTTACTTCATTTTTTCAGAAATTTTGGGAATACAATACTGTTATTTTTCAATTTCCATTTTACACTAAATAAAATTAGTCAGTGAAATGGAGAAAGCAGGTGGGCGGGGCTAAATTTACCTTGTTTCTATTTTTATGAGCAAGCAGAAGCCCCGCCCACCCTTCCTTT